ACAAACAAGTTCATCCTGGAGAGGGTGAAGGCAGGCTGCTCCTTGGGGGCAAGGATTCTGAAGCTCCATCTGACACACTTTGCAAGGCAGGATCAATCCTTGGAGAGGGACATCAGGCTTGGGAGTGTGGACGGACAGAGCAGGAGAGGAAGACCCTTAATGAGATGGATTGATCCCATCACTGGGATAATAGGGATGGGCATGTTGGAGACAATTGGCAAGGGATAGAGCAGGGTTTAGAGCTGTTGTATATAGGGTTGCTATGAATCACAGGCGGCTCAATGGCACACAACAACAATGACAACAAAAAACATCATACATGGAGGAGTGGAGGGACAGCACAGGAGAGGAAGATCTCAGATGACATGGATTGACACAGTATCTGGGATTATGCCAGTAGGTCTGTCAAAATCAGTGAACTGGATCAGAATAGGTCAGGCTTCAGAGCTGTTGTACATATGGTCGCTATAAGTTGCAGGTGACTCGATAGCACATAACAACAACAACACTACAATATCATTTGCAATAAAAAAAACAAACAAAACTTCAAGCTCTTTATAAGGTATCACTAAAACATGAGCAAAAAGAAAAAAATCCAAGAAAAGGTCAAGCCAAGTCACCTCCCCTTCATGGTAACCCCACGTGTTGCATAGCAGAACTGCCACAGAGGGTTTCCTTGGCTGTAATCTTTATGAAATCAGATTGCCAGGCCTTTCTTCTGTGGTGCTGCTGAGTGGGTTCAAACCTTGAGGCTAGAATTTAAGCAGAAACTGTATCACCCAGGGATCTATGCTAGCCTGAAAGTGAAGGCAGTTCTACAAACTCAGCTGTGCTTCTGCAAAGAGAAAAATCAATTTTCTTCATTCATTATCATTCCCAGCGTCGTCATCACCATAGTTCCCACTGATTCCTGGCAGCTGCATTCATGTCAGAGCAGACTTGATGAGCTTTTCAGGGTAGACTTTTCAGGAGATCCCAGGCCTGCCTTCTAACACAATTCTGGATGAACTTGAATTTCAGACTCTTCCATTAGCATTATTAGAGTGTGTGAAACATTTCCACCACTCAGGGACTTTCCTAGGGAGCTCTGCTGGCACACCCTGTAGGTAGCGTGCTGCTTGCCCAAAGTCCAGGCCTCCCCGAAGGTTCGAATCCACCAAGAGCTACACCTAACAAAAAAGGGCTGTCTCCTCCTGTGTTATTTACATCCTTGGAAACCCAATAGAAGGTGAGCTATGAACTGCTTCTGACTCAACAGCAATGAGTTGAGTTTGTTACGGAGCAACTCTCTTTGCTTGGCATTCGGCACCAGCATTACCTCTCCAAGGCTGTGTTTCTTGCAGTCACCTGGCAATGGCAACACCAGTTCTTACTGAGTTCTCCTAGGGTTCACACATTATGATAATAAAATCTCTCATTACATCCTCATAAAGACCCCAAATCCCATGATATAGAGGCTATTATTATTATTATTCCCTCCTTTAAAGAATAAGAAACTAAGGCTTCAAGAAAGAGACAATTAAGGTATAACACAGAAATCTTAAAGCAGGGTTCCTAAGAACCTAATTTTAATGTAAAGACTTAAGTACTCAGCATATCCTAAAGAGATTTAAGTACTTCTACTAAAGAGACAATTCCATTTTCCTAGGTACCTTAGAAAATTATATTCTCATTTTCTAGGTATAAAGAAACAAAGATTATTGAGTCATCTCTGGGGACCTATATAAAAAAATGACTGAAGTCCTCAGCTAGGTCGGATTTTAGAAGGGGACACATCTGTAATGCATTTCCCCATGGATCAGCCCTGTACCTCCTGAACTTCAGAGGAGGAAGCTGGCTCAGCCAAGCCTCCAGCACCTCTAGGCTTCCACCTCCCTGCCCTGAGATCACTGGATTTCTGTACAGTTGCCAGGCCATCACCAATTCCTCCCTCTAGAACTCTTAGCCAGTTGCAAAAGTGGGGTTTCATGACCAAGCCGTACATTGCCTTCCACTGGATGGAGGTGAAGGGGTGAGCATGCAGCCTAGTCTTTAGGAGATTAGCGGGGCCACTTCTGTTGGGCCTAGTGAAGAAGAGACTCTTTTTTACTGGGATTGCTAATCTAATAAGATACTCATCCAGAATTCCTGCCACTAGGGCCCCCTCAACTGAATGCATCCATGTCTAAACCCAGCAAAGGGTCAGCTATGAGTCTAGGTTTTTATGGAATCTGAGAAAAAAGAAACTTTCTTTCACTTAGGCAAGTTCGACTTGGATTTCTTTGGAAGTCCTAATCCCTAAGTATCCATGAAATACAGAGTTTATCACGCACCTCTATGAATGCCAGGTTCTATGACAGAAACTTAGAAACACAGGTATATCAGATATGTTGCCTGCCATCCAGAAGTTCTTACTCTGGTGGTAGAAACAATTAGATGATGGGATAAGTATAGTTTGGTGGGGTGAGTGCTGTAACAGGGCGTGTGAGGTACACAGCCATCACAGTGGACTTGAGCATGCCAATGACCATGAACATGGTACAGGATTGGTACGTTGTATTGGAGTGACCTTGAGTCAGAGCTGACTCAGTGGCAGTTGACAGCAACAACAAACGCAGCACAGAGGAGGAACCACACTATCTTCTCACGAGGGAGTCCTAGAATGATCCACCAGGCAGGATACATAGGTCAAGGATTTACAAGATGCTTTTATGTCAAGTCTAGTCTAGAAGGGAGGAGAGTTAGGCAAAGTTTTATGCCTTATGCAAAGTCACAGAGGCTTGGAAAGGTAGGAAACCATGAGAAGTTGACTGTGACATGTAGAGCGACTTCAAATAATCAGTGTTGCATCTCCTGTGGATTCGTCAATGGGGCCTCAAGCCCACCAGCAGCTTCATGAGAGAAAAATGGGCACTCTCCTTGTGATTTGGCCTTGGAGACCCAATAGTCAGTTCCTTGTTCCAAGTCAGTTCCAACTCTATGGCTGGATGAGTCTGTTGTTGAGGGACCCTCAAGACACTACTGCACAGCTAGCCAGCACCGAAGGGGCCCACACGCAGCTGAGGAGGTGGCTGCTGCCCAACCTGAGGTGACCGAGCATGGACACACGGTGTACCCAGCTACATAATATGTGGGATTCAGTAAAAACACAAATGCAAGGAGGCTGGTTGAAAAATTATGAAGACAATTAGAAGAATCTGGTGTGAAAAACAATGTATTCAAATTTTGTAAATAAACTAGAATAATATAAAATTAGTTATGAAGACATTCCAGACATCAATAGCAGAGCATTGAATTAAGAATAGTACTCTTTCAAGGATCCCTGATGGTACAATGGTTAAAGTGTTTGATTGCCAACAGAAAGCTCAGGGGCTTGAATCCCCCAGCTGCTCAATGGCAGTCTGCTTGTATAAAGATTACAGGCCAGGAAACTCTCTACTCTGCTCTGTGGGGTCACTATGACTCAGAATTGACTTGACAGCAGTGGGTTTGATTTTGGAAACCTTCTAAATGGAGGGTGTTGTGAGACACCACAGTCTGTACGACCATGAAGTCAATCCAGACGTGAAGGCTGGGGAGGAACTTGCTTCTTATTCATGATGTGGCCCAGGACTAATTACTATGAACACTTTAATCACTGCAAAGCTAGCCTCCCACCCTGCTTGATGGGAGCAGAACAAGGCCAGCTGAGATGCACAGATTGCATTTTTTTCTGCCTTACTAAGTCCCTCCTCCCTTTTACCAGCTCCTGAAGCAGACCTCAGACCCCAGGAATCATGTAGCTGGGCACTTAGATGTCCGTGAAGTTGGAAGACAATTTTTCAGAGAGATGGAGGCAATCTGAGATTGGTGGTACATCTTTGCTATACACAGATAGAAATGCTCAGACTTCATCAAATAGTAAAAAAATTTTCATTCTTCATCATTTCTCCAAGCACATAAGGTTTCTGGAGGTGAGTTATTTCTGAAGTGGATGCCACTCCTGCTTCCAAGCTTGTTTTTATCAGGGAGCTCCACCAAACACCATCCACCATGGGTAAAACCATTATCGCATTTGACACATCAGTGTCACAGTGTTCAGCATCACAGCAACTATGAGTTATCTCTGTACAGCAAATGGACAGACCAGTGCTATACCACTTAGAAGAATGTTTGACCAAAAACAATTAAAACCAGGCCTGAGGGCCGCAGATTAAAATCACCCACTTTTGGCTTGGGAGCATCACTTTCCATCCACTAGGCCAATTGAGCTCTCTCTATGTTGTTGTTGTTGTTGTTAAATGCTGTTGAGTTGTAGACAACTCATAGTGACTCTATGAATGAAAGACCTGAACACTTGTATAACTTTCATCTTTTTGCTGTACAGAAGTAACTCATGGTTGCTGTGATGCTGAACACTGTGACACTGATGTGTCAAATGCGATAATGGTTACCCATGGTGGACAGTGTTTAGTGGAGCTCCCTGATAAAAACAAGCTTGGAAGCAGTAGTGGCATCCACTTCAGAAATAACTCACCTCCAGAAACCTTATGAACCTGGAGAAATGATGAAAGTTATACAAGTGTTCACGTCTTTTGTTTATAGGGTCACTATGAGTCAGCTATGACTCAGCACATAACAACAACAACAACAAAAAACAATTATGGAATGGACATTTATAATCTGAAGTTTTTTCCTTTCTATCAAAGAAAATTCTACTTTCGTTCTTCAGTGTCTCCTAAGAACACTTCTGTCTCATCCAACCAATGACTGACTCTTGTGATATAGAAGTATGTTGAAGGAGACTAAACTGGAAGGCAGAATGGAATGATTTTCCATCTAAAGAACTAAAACATGTCTAAAAAGTCAAAGAACAGGGAGAGAGAAAGAAATGAGAAATGTCATGAAGACCCAGTTTTACAGAAGTTTGCAGGTAGGAATGGAGAACAAGGTTTTGAGAAATCATCTGCTGTTTTTTCCATCAAAGCTTTTAGAAGCGCCCAGGAGAAGGAGCTGGCCTCTTGCAAGACGGAAATGCTCACCTGTTCTGAACCATGCTCATAGCCATCCAGTCTACTGGGTACACATTCTTCCCAATGAGGTCCTTGAACATGATGAATGTTTCCATCAAAAAGTCCTGAAATCGTAAAACAAAAATCGACCCATTAGTGGGGCTGGCAGGAAGTGCCCAGATCTTATTGGCTCTAATTTAAACACTGTCTTTATTATTTCTCAGCAGTAGAGAAAAGGAAGTGGCATAGCTTTTTATCAGGTAAATCCAGTGGAACCAGTAGTCACGGGTTTTAAATGGGAGGTGAGAATTGTTACCGGGAGACTGCTTTACAAATAGAAGTGAAACATGAATACGAAATGTAAAAACGTTCTCCAAATAAAGTACTATTAATTCTGTCTCTGGGAGTAAAGAAGTAAATATATTCATTGATGTGACAATTCTGAAATCATCTTCCCAAATATGTATTCGAGAAAGCAATAACCTCCACTGGATGAAAGCATCTCAGGTCATTGAGCAAACAAACTATTATTAAAATGAACACTTAATTAGCAGTACTGTAAACACAGCTAATTCATACATTGCACACAAGCAGATTAGAAAGAAGCAGCAGAGCTAGCGAAACCTTTTCTCTGCTTGGGTGAGTTTCAGAGTGGGTCTTGTCGTACTTTACAGGGGATCAAACTTATTCTCCGTCCTTGGGGGGACATGAGTTCCAAGGCCAACTCAGGCCCAAAGGCCAGCACTACTAGCACAGGAACCCTCCTGGGCTCCTGGAAGCACAGTCATACCTCCCACATTCTTCAGGTAAAATATGAAACCCAGAGAAAATGGAGAACCTATTCAGAGTTCTTTCTTTAAACTAGTGGTTTTCAAATTAATTTCACTGTGAAATCCTTTGTTCGAAGGAAATCTTACCTGGAATCTAATAAATAAGATAGATAAGATGTAAAGAGCTCTAAGTACGTGTGTGTTTACGATAGAGGATAGTGAAGCTGGGAGGAATATAATTTGAAAATCACTGCTTTAAGCTAAATTGCAGAATTCTGGAAATGGGATTGGTTCCTTTCCAATAATCTTTGCTTCTAGGGAAAATTACCTCAATGCTTTATGTCCCAGTTTCTGCATCAGCAGAATAGGGATGATATCTACTTTGCAGGGTTTCTGTGAGCATTGAATAGATAATGTCTACAAGATGTTCAGAGTTCACTAATGGTTCATTGGTAGAGTTGTCATCTTCCATGGACGATACTCAGGTCTAATTCCTGGATATGACACCTCATGAGCATTTGCCATCCGTCAGTGAGTGGAGGCTCATATGTTGCTGTTATGCTGAATAGATTTCAGTGTAACTTCCAGATTAAGATGAACTAGAAAAAAGGCTTGGCAATCTCCTTTTGAAAATTAGCTAACTAAAATCCTATGGATCACTATGGTCTGGTGCACAGCTGATCATGGGGATGGCAAAGCACTGGGTGACATTTTATTCCAAGTGTATAAGGTTGTCATAAGTCAGGGGACCATTCAGTGGCAGCCAACAACAACATCCCAAGATGCTTAATACAGAGCTTAGCCATTGCAAGTGCTTTGTAAGTGCTTAATGATGGTAATAGTTATCTCTTCTGCCCTTGAAGTTACTTGGGGAAGTGTGGATATTGCTACGCACTTATCATCTATCTAAAGACATGGAGAAGGGCTCTGACCAGAACATGGAAAACAGACAAGAAGATGTAAGCTCCAGATAAGAAGATGTGGAGGAAGTATTGCAACAGAGGTTCAAATCTTATCAAACGGTGACCTTGAACAAGCGGAGTGTGTATTTATAAAATGAGATTGTTGTTGTTGTGTACCATCAAGTCAGAACTGACCCTTCAGAGGGTTTTCAGAGGCAGTTACTCACACAAGAGGAGATTGTTCATCCTTTTTCAGAGGAGCAGCTGATGAATTTGAACTGCCTGCCTCCAAGATTGCAGCACAGCTTCTTGCCACTAGGCCACCAGCACTCCCTACTAATGCTCATGTCAGGGAATGCTGGTGGTCTGTAGGGGGCGCATTGCTAGCCAAAGGCCATGTTTCTGGTGGTTTGAATCCACCAATGTCTTTTCAGGAGAAAAATGAGCAGTCTCCTCCTGTGATTCACAGCCTCAGAACCCCAAGAAAGGGTCAGCTATGAGTCAATTCAGGCTCAATGGCAATGAGTAAGTAAGTGAATGCTTATGCCATACCATTCTGAAAATTATAGAAGAAAACAAATACATACTTAGTAAGGAAGAACTCCTTTTCCGATCTTCTTTCCATTTCCCTATTTTCTCCTGTAGCACAGCAACAATTAGGAACCCAGCCCATCTATACTCATGTCCCAAGATAGAGTTGAAAGGGGTGGGAACTTAGGTTACTCAGCTTTCCTTTTTGCTTGCTATTTTTTATTTGGGTGGTTTTGTTTGTTAATAATCTATTTTATTTTATTTTATTGTTGTTGTTGAGACAATACATAGCAGGGCATGTACTGACTCTCCATGCACAATTCAGCAAAACTGACGACATTCTTCAAGTTGTGAAACCACTATCTTCCTCCTCCCTTCTCCATTAGCATAGTTCAGTCTGCTTTTAATTTATGTTCTGTATCTTCCAGAAAAGTTCAATGTCTTTCCAAACCTTCTCCAGTCCTTGGAGAAGGACATCATGGTTGAAAAGGTGGAGGGTTAGTTTAAGAGAGAAAGAGCCTCGACAAGAGGGATTGACACTGTGACTGGAGAAATGTGCTCAAGTGGGTCAAAGAGGATGAAGATGGCAAAGGATAGAACAGGGTATGGATTTGAGGTTCATAGGGTTGCAGTGAGTCACAGTTGTCTCAGTGGCTCCTAACAACTTCTCCAGTAGGGAAACCATCTGACTACTGAAGGGACAGAATATGATACTGGTCACCTTCTTGGGTACGCTCTGAGGTTATTCAGATCTAGTGCCCTTGACCCTGGCAAGCAGATGGAAGACAGAGTCCTTGGCAGCAAGAATCCCAGATCTGGCAGGAGGAAAGAGACAATGACAAAGGCTGGCTGCAGGCTGACCATGGCCAGGCCACCATTCTAGAGGAAAAGTTGCTCTGCTACACTGTAACCAGGGATAGCTTTGTCTGGGCTGCATTTTGAGGAAATTATTTGCTACAGACATGAAATCAGAGGTCATAGGTAACAATCCAAGAGCAAGCTTAGCTTCAACGGCTAAGAGAAGTTGAGGCCACAGGTGCCAACTTTCTCCATTCCAATATCCAACTTTCTATATATAATAAACCTTATAAAATTGTATTCTACTGTACTATATTATATTACACTACTAGATTTTGTTTTAGGGAGCCCTGGTGACTGAGTGGAAAGGAGTTGCACTGGCAATCTAAAGACACACAGTTTGAATCCACCAGTTGCTGAATGAGAGAAAGATGAGCTATTTCCTCCCATGGGATTTACTGCCTCTGAAAACCCATTGGAGGGTCAGCTTGAGTCAGTTCTGATTTAATGGTACACAGCAACAACAATAACTGTGTGTATATGTGTGTGTGTGTGTGTGTGTGTGTGTGTGTGTGTGTGTGTGTGTATCATCCAGGAAGAG